ACATTTGTTGGAGGGATCCTTTTGATGATGTTCCACCAATGATTCTCGTGGGTAAAATTAAAGCACATGGAACAGTGGGTAATATATTAACATTTGTTGGGAATTGGATGACAGATAGGAAAAAGGGAGTTGCAATAAATGGGCCTTTCCAGAGCCAGTGACTTGAGGGGTTTTTTTCATTCATTTGCGGGATGAGGGTGTGGCTGGCTCGGCAGCATTTATTGCCCATCTCTAATTGCCTAGAGGCCAGTTAAGAGTCAACCATATTGTTGTGCGTTTGGAGTCACACATAGGCCAATCAAGGTGAGGATGGCAGTTTCTTTCCCTCAAGGGCATTAGTGAACCAGATGGGTTTTTCCAACAATCAACAATAGATTCACGGTTATCATTAGATTCTTAATTCCACATATTTGTTGAATTCAAATTGCACTATCTGCCTTGGCAGGATTCGAACCAGGGTCCCCAGAACATTATCTGGGTTTTTGGATTAACTGTCCAGCAATGAAAACATTTGGCCATCGCCTTTCCCTCAAGGTACCACTTGCATCTGTTCACAATATATGCACATCTCCTGAATGATTAGCAAGTATGGATGTACAAGGGGTGTCCTGATCGACCAAAAGTAGACAGCTAGGCACAGCAAGCAATTAGGATGGAAACGTTTATATTGTCTTTCATTGCAAGATGATCTAATATCAGTCATTGAAATGTCTTGCAGCATATAAACAGAGTCTTGGTGAGACCGCAGCTGCAGTATTGTTTTGGAGGTTTTGAGGACAGACAGTGAATGCTATAAATCAGGAACAAAACCAAAGTTGCTGGCAAAGCTAAGCAGGTCTGGCAGCATCTGTGAAGGTAAAAACAGAGTTAATGTTTTGGGGACAGTGGCCCTTCTTCAGCAGGTCTGAGGTAGAGTCACTGGACCCGAAACGTTCACTCTGTTTCTTCCTTCACAGATGCTGCCAGACCTGCTGAGCTTTTCCAGCAACTTTGGCTTTGTTCAGGAATAAAACATGACCCTGGGTGGGGAAAGACATTATTCCTACATTCCCCACACGGCAAAAATCATTGACTGAATATGTATGAAAGTTGAGAGGTTTGCTGGAGGAGATTACCAACCTGTTGTCTCTTCAGTCGTTGTCGGAGGCTCTGTGGTGGGAATTGTAGTGGTGGGTGTTGTGGGAACTGTTAGAAAGTAACAAACAGAAACAATCTCAATGGATGTGGCTCTCTGTCCCTGCATTGGTGTCTCAGCAGGGTTTGTTTCAGGCTGATAGGGGCTGTTGGGCTCAATTTTATATCTCCTGGGTGCAGATGGGCTTGGGAATTGAACACTTGAAAGGTATCCCTGAATTCTGATGCCTCTTTTCATTCATTTCTGGAACGGCAGTGTCACTGGTTGGTCCAAATGTACTGCCTGTCTGTACTGTTTTGGGTTCAGTGAACTTTCCTCAGAAACCAGAGCCTGTCCATACTTGCCCTTGAGAAGGTGGTGGTGAGCTGCCTTCTTGTGCCCCCATTTGCTGTATGGACCCTCTTGCTAAAGTCCCTCTTAAGAGGCTAGTGAGTTGTGCGGAAGGGTCACTCGACCTGAAACATTATCTCTGATTTCTCGCCACAGATGCAGCTGGACCTGCTGAGCTTTTCCAGCAATTTCTGTTTCTGTTTCTGTGGAAAAGCCAATCGTGGATGGAGAGTGGAGTTATGGCAACTGCCATGTTCATCTCAACGAGACTTTCATAAACTGTAGGGTTTCTGGCCATACAACAGGTCAGCTCCTTCTGGTGAGGTGGCCCAGTGATTCCTTATGTCCCACGGATGGTCTCATTCAGCATGGAATCTCACTGTGCACCTCACAACCCAATACAGCAGAGGAGGGCACCAGTGAACAATGAGGATTGTTAAACATTCATTCCTGGATGTGGCCATCTCTGGCTGGGCCAGCATTTATTGCCTGTCCCTAGTTGCCCGTTGAGAAGGTGGTGATCAGCTGCCTTCTTGAACCGCTGCAGTCCAAGTGCTGTAGGCAGAGCCACAATGCCGTTAGGGTGGCAGTGCCAGGATTTTCACCCAGCGACACTGAACAGGTGGTGTAATGTTGTTGCATTACAATCTCTTGAAAATTAATCGTGCACTGCTTGGATTATAGTTTTGTATCTGTCTGATGAGGAGTGCCCTATGAAAGTCTCATTGCCATTAACCCTTCATTCCCGAGACTGAGAATCTCAACATGCAATGGGCAGGAATAAAACATGACCCTGGGTGTGGGAAGGCATTATTCATACATTCTCCACACGGCAAAGATCATTGACTGAATGTGTATGAAAGTTGAGGGGTTTGCTGGAGGAGATTACTAACCTGTTGTCTCTTCAGTCGTTGTCAGAAGCTCTGTTGTGAGAATTGTAGTAGTGACGATTGTTGTATCTGTGAAAAGTAGAAGCAGAAATAAGCTTAATGAACGTGGGACTCTGTCCCCACATTGGTGTCTGGGCAGGGTGAGTATCAGGCTGAGAGGCGCTCTGTAGGCTACCAGGGTCTCTCAGGACAGACTGTGTGCCCCTCACACTGTGCCCATCTGGAGCTACGATGGGACACTCAGCGGTGTGTCAGAAACATGGGGCCAGCCGCTGCTGCCACATCCTCCTGGTTCACACCAGCAGAAGGACGTTTGTTGGACTGGGGTCTGGTGCAGGTGGTCAGACCACATGTGGAAGCCTCTGTGCTGAGCTACTGCAATGTAATGTTTAATTGTAATTTGTTTATGTGACGGTAATGTCAGACATTTCACTATGTCTTATTTCTAACTTATTCTTTGAACACTATAAAGCAATATAACTACTTTTCTTTTTTATTCCTTTTTTGTATCTAACCTTGGACTTGTACCTTAGATGGAACCATCAGAGAAAACATTGTAAAACATTTCACTGTACTGCTGTACTTCTATGCTTGAGTACACGTGACAATAAAGGATACTCTATTAAAAAGCTGCTGCAGAGTCTGCGGCACTGTCTCGGGAGACGTCCTCTCTCCACTTCCCCCACCCTGTCCCCACACCATGAACCAAAGGAGCCACCAGGGGGCTCTTCTTGCCTTCTGAGATTACACTCAAGTGGGTCTTGGTGATAGATGCCCTTGATAAGTTGGTGGTGAGCTGCCTTCTTAGACCACTGCAGTCCATGTTCTATAGTTTGACCTAAAATGCCCTTAGGTGCCCTTAGGGGTGACAGTGAAGGAATCTGCAATATATTTTATGTCAGGATGGTGAGTGGTTTGGAGGGGATCTTACAGGAGGTGGTGTTCCCATCTATCTGCTGCCCATGTCCTTTGTGGGTTTCAAGGCACACTTTGGTAACTTTCTACAGTACGTCTTAAGATGATGATAAATTGGAACAGGAATTGGCTGGTTCGCCCTTAAATCCTGCTCTGCCATTCAACAGGATCGTGGCTGATCAAACATTCCTCATGTCTAATTTGCTGGGAACACCCAGCATGGGTTCATGAAGGGTAGGTCATGTTTAACTAATTTGGTGGAATTCTTTGAGGACATTACTTGCATGGTGGACAATGGGGAACCTGTGGATGTGGTGTATCTGGATTTCCAGAAGGTATTTGACAAGGTGCCACACCAAAGGCTGCTACATAAGATAAAGTTGCATGGTATTACAGGTAATGTATTGGCATGGATAGAGGATTGGTTGACCAGTAGAAAGCAAAGAGTAGGGGTAAATGGGTGTTTTTCTGGTTGGCGGTCAGTGGCTAGTGGTGTGCCTCAGGGATCAGTGTTGGGACCGCAATTGTTTACAATTTACATAGATGATTTGGAGTTGGGGACTAAGTATGGTGTGTCAAAATTTGCAGATGACACTAAGGTGAGTGGTAGAGCAAAGTGTGCCGAAGACACTGAAAGTCTGCAGAGGGATATAGATAGTCTAAGTGAGTGGGCAAAGGTCTGGCAGATGGAGTACAATGTTGATAAGTGTGAGGTCATCCATTTTGGTAGGAATAACAGCAAAACGGACTATGTTTTAAATGGTAAAAAATTGCATTACGCTGCTGTGCAGAGGGACTTGGGTGTCCTTGTGCATGAATCGCTAAAAGCAGGATTGCAGATGCAGCAGGGAATTAAAAAGACAAATGAAATTTTGTCTGCCATTGCTCGAGGGATGGAGTTTAAAAACAGGGAGGCTATGCTGCAGCTGTATAGGGTCCTAGTGAGGCCACACCTGGAGTACTGTGTGCAGTTTTGGTCTCCTTACTTGAGAAGAGATATACTAGCACTGGAGGGGGTGCAGAGGAGATTCACTCGGTTGATTCCAGAGTTGAGAGGGTTGGATTATGAGGAGAGACTGAGTAGGCTGGGATTATACTCATTGGAATTCAGAAGAATGAGGGGAGATCTTATAGAAACATATAAGATGATGAAGCGAGTCGATAAGGTGGAGGCAGGGAGGTTGTTTCCGCCAGCAGGTGAAACTAGGACTAGGGGGCATAGCCTCAAAATAAAGTGAAGCAGATGGAGGACTGAGGTCAGGAGGAACTTCTTCACCCAAAGGGTTGTGAATCTGTGGAATTCCCTGCCCAGTGAAGCGGTTGAAGCTACCTTGCTGAATGTTTTTAAGGCAAGGCTGGATAAATTTTTGAACAGTGAAGGAATTAAGGGTTATGGTGAGGGGGCGGGAAAGTGGAGCTGAGTCTCAAAAAGATCAGCCATGATCTTATTAAATGGCGGGGCAGGCTCGAGGGGCCAGATGGCCTACTCCTGCTCCTAGTTCTTATGCTGTTATATTCCTGCGCTTTTCCTGTTCACCTAGATTCCCTGACTGACCAATAATCTATCTATCTCAGCCTTAAATATGCATAATGACTCTGGCCCCACAGCTCTCTGTTGCAAGGAGTTCAAAAGACTCACAATCCCCTCAGAGAAGAAATTCCCCTCATCTTAATCTTAAATTGGTGCTCCTTTATTCTGAGAGTATACCCTCTGGTCCTGGACTTTCCCATGAGAGGAAACATCCTCTCAGCATTTACCCTGTCGAGCCCCTTAAGAATCCAATATGTTTCGATGAGATCACCTCTCATTCTTCTCAACTCCAGTGAGCAGAGTCCCAACCTGTTTAACCTTTGCTCATAAGATAATGCCTCCATACCAGGGATCATTCAAGTGAACCCTCTCTGAACTACCTCCAATGAAGCTGTATCTTTCCTTAAACAATGGGACCAAAACTGCTCACAGTATTCCAGATGTGATCTCACCAGCACGTTGTACAATTACAGTAAGACTTTCCTATTCTTATACTCCAACCCCCTTGAAATAAAGGCCAACATTTCATTTCCCTTCCTGATTACCTGCTGTACCTGTGTGCTAGCTTTCTGTGATCAATGCACAAGTTCCCCCAAAGTCTCTTTGTGTTGCAGCTTTCTGCAGTTTTTTTTCATTTAAATAACATTCAGTTCTTTTGTTCTCCCTGCCAAAAGGTCTGGGAGATGTATCCACCTTTATGGTGTTTAAGACCTCCACCACCTCCTCTTCTGTTATGCAGACTGTCTTCAGGACTTCAATATTTATTCCTCCAAGTTTCCCAGCTTCCATTTCTTTTTCCACAGAAGAAAAAAATTACATGAAATATTTGTTCAGTGTCTCTCATCTCCTGTGGTTCCACCCATGGAAGATCTCATTGATCTTAAAGGGGCCCTATTCTCTCCCTAGTTGCTCCTTTGCTTCTAATGTATTTGTAGAATCTATTTGGATTATCCTTAACTCGATATGCCAAGGCTATCTCATGTCCCCTTCCTGCCCTCCTGATTTCCCTCCTAAGAATGCCCCTAAATCCTATATACTCTTAGATCCAAGGAGTCTTTGATGATGTTAGCTGCTTTTCCGTGGCAATGGGAAGTATACATGGAGTCAATGGATGGGAGGTTGTCTTGCCTGATGGTCTGGGCTGTGTTCATGATCCCGGACAGAGTGTTTGCCGTGCCAAGCTGTTATGCACCCAGATAGAATGTTTTCTACGGTGCATCTGTAAACTTTGGTGAGTGTTCTTGTGCTCATGCTGAATTTCCTTAGCCTCTTGAGGAAGACAAGGTGTTGTTGTGCCTTCTTGTTCATTTGCCTGACCACTGAAATAAATGCAGCTTAAGTCATCGAGTTACCTTATTCTTTGACTTGCTCTTGCCTCCCTGTTCTAATTAACTTGCTTTTTTTAAATTCAGATTCATTCTCATCTGTCTTTCTATTGTCGCTACTATTTAGGAACTCCCCTCCGCCCATACTAGTTTAATGGCTCCCAAATAGCACTAGCGAATCTCCTCACCAGGATGTTGGTCCCCCACCAGCCGCCATTTCTGATGAAACCCGTCTCTTTTGAACAGATTCCAATGATCCAAAAATTTGAAACCTTACCCACTGCACAATCTCATCAGCCAATGATGTATCAGCCCTATCTTTCTATTCCTACTCTCGCTAGTGTATGGCACTGGGAGTAATCCAGAGATTATTACCTTTAAGGTTCTGCTTTTTAACCTCCTACCTAACTTCCTATATTCACTTGGCAAAGCGTCAACCCTTTCTCTAACCATATCATCCTTACCAATGTGTACAACAACTTCCAGTTTCTCACTCTCCCCTTTGACAATATGCTGCAACCACTTTGAGATGTCCCTGACCCTGGCACCAGGGAGGCCACATGCCATCCCTGTATTCACACTCACGGCCGCAGAAAGCCCCTGTCTGTGCCCCTGATGGGACAGTCCCTGAAAATAATTAGAGATAAGAAGGTGTAGAGCTGGATGAACACAGCAGGCCAAGCAGCATCAGAGGAGCAGGAAGGCTGACGTTTCAAGGGTCTAGGCCCGAAATGTCAGCCTTTCTGCTCCTCTGATGCTGCTTGGCCTGCTGTGTTCATCCAGCTCTACACCTTGTTATCTCAGATTCTCCAGCATCTGCAGTTCCTACTATCTCTTGTGAAAGCAGGCCCAGTTGAACCAACCTGTCCTCTAAGAACAGTCCTGTCATTCTCAGTGTCAATCCAGTGAACCTCCCCTGCACTCCCTCAATGACAGGTCTGTCCTCTCGGAGTTCAGGAGACCAAACCTGCCTACAGTGCTAGATTTGTGGTCTTACCAAGGCCCTGTACAACTACAGTAAGACATCCCTGCTTCCGAGCTTTATTTTAGTGTGACTGTGGGAGTCGAGGGGCCACACCAATAGTTAGTCACGTCAGTGCCCTACAGTGACACCAGCTGCTACTCATAGTCTGTGACTGAGCTCAGGACACAGTTTGCTAGGATTGTTCAGAACAGGAGAAGTCCATATTATATAAAGCTTGTGTGGCTTCAACATTGCTGCTTCAATTCCTCCTGATATTCATGCTTGTTGTGTTCATAGAGAACCAGAAGCACTTTGAGAAGTGGCGCTGGCCACCAGTGTGGTACCTAAAGGCAGAGGATTGTTATCGCCGGGCATTGAGAGAATGGCAACGTGAACAGGAACTCCTACACAAACAGCGCGTTCGGAGGAAGTGGAACTTCTGGAGATCCAGCTTCGCTCACTCTTAGAGAACTTGAACCTCAGAGCTGGTCCCTCCCATTAACACCACAAATGGTCTGACTTCCATCAGCAACGAGCTGCAGCTGTAAAACAGGCGGAGGATGACTGAGTGTGTCAGCACAGAGTGTGTTCCAGAATGTTCCATACACTTCCATTAACTGCAAGTTAAGGGCTATACTTTTTGCTGAAATCCTTTTCAGGGCCATGTTCTCCTGAGCCCTGCAGAATAGAATGAGTCCACGTGTAGAACTCAAGTTCTATTCTCAATGATCCCTCACTTATTGTTAACCTCAGACCTCATACACTGTACACCTCAATCACCTGTTAACCAACTGACTACACACCACGTGTGCCTCAATGTGACCAATCAACTGGTAACCTGAACTTGGGATTACAATTCCTGTCTTCATCCAGAACCTTCACTCAGTAATCAAAATGATCAACAGCACAAGGAGATAGTTAATGACAAGCTTGAGAACAATCTCACTGTCCTGGGATACTGCCCATCGTCCAGGGCACTGACCACTGACCGGGGTCACTGACCGGGATCACTGACCACTGACCGGGATCACTGACCACTGACCAGGGTCACTGCCCACTGTCCTGGGACACTGCCCATCGTCCAGGGCACTGACCACTGACCGGGGTCACTGACCACTGACCAGGGTCACTGACCACTGC